AGATAAGACTAGTATCAATCTTTGTAAATCAACTATCGGGGAATAAATCATTCTCCCTAGATCCATGTTCACGTTATTGCGTCAATGGTTAAAGCATTGATATTTTGAAATGCTTGCTTATTCGCTTTTTTGGCGGCATTACAGAGAGCAAGGCTAGCTTTTTCCGCCTGTTTCCAGTCTTTATGCTAAGCTAAGCTAACCGAGGAATGGCTGTAGCTTCACATGTAGTGTACAATTATAAAAAGGACAAGCATATATTTCCCAAAATGTTCATAAATTCCTCTAATATTAGAACATCTTCACATTTCAACGTCTGGACCCAAGCCATATTTAGCTTTTCTTACTTAAAACATTTCCTAAATAATTAGGTTAACTAATATCATATTCCAATAACTTGCATATAGACTCTTATTGCACTATTTCACTTTTAACTATTTTTCTTTTTGTATTTACTATTTACTTGCACTATATTTTTCTGTTTATCTGTTATTGTTTTGCACTGTTGGAGAAGCCTGTGACACACGATTTTCATCTGCATAACTACACTGTAGCTATGTTCGTATGACAAAAATAAATAACCTTGAAACTTAACTGTTTATTCGGCTTATTGTTTCAGCACTTTATTCAATTTTCTTTTGGGAATGTTATTGTACTTACTGCTTAAAACGGGCAGCGTAGTACGTGATGTAACTGTCCGCTGCCTGCCTGCCTGCCTGCCTGCCACTGATAAATGAACGAACAATAAATCATATTTTTTGAAAGAGAGTGAAGCCTGTTCATTGGCTGAGAGGAAACATCACTTCCTCTGTGCCAAGATGATTGATAACCCAGTTGGCCACTGCAGCGCCTCCTCTGCACCTTCAGTGTGGATGAGAAATAGATCGGAAGAGGAGAGATACAGGTGGGAGAGAGAGAGAAACGCTGTGAGCGGAGGGAGGGATAGAAGAGCAAAGGATGGAAAAAAGGATGCCTTATTAATCTGAGGTGCTGAGAAATATACCCTGGAGATCCTTTTGTCTGTGTGCTAAGCAACAGTTCATTCATCTTTCTTTCAAACACTAAATCCATCATATAGTTGAGGAGCGCACCCCTCCCCCAGATGCCCCCGTTTTTCTATCCCTGTCTGTCTTTCAAAGCTAAAATAAGCCCAGCAGGTACCAGTGGAGGGCACACACACATGCTGTAGAGACACTGGTTTCATAATGCGTTGATGAGACGCTGCAGTGGCCATGACGCCTCATTAAACAGCCAGCGTTTCTGACGGGGTATCACTTCCAGCTAGAGAGGATTTGGCTCAGTGTCTAGTGTCTCATTATATTACACTCGTTGTTTTAGGCACTAAGCCGCTCCAGAGTGACCTACAGTGATTGAGCGGGTAAAAAGTTTCTAGGGAGGGAGGTATAATGTCCGCCTACGGTTCGACATGCGGCGAAACGGGGATTAGGTAATGGAGAGTCGTAGTAATTGTAGCTTTTACTTGGATATTCATTTCCTGTGAGAGGAGCGGACGAGCAGGCGAACTCTGTTTGACGAGATAGCTGCTGACATGAGAAACGCTGGTGCAAATGAACACAGCGGTGAAGGTGCCATAAGCAATCACTCACAAAGATGTTGCTAGAAAGTGTCCTTAGAGGTAGACTTAAAGCTCAACAGGGCTTAAAGAAAAAGCTTGTTAGCCACGAAAAAGCTACCGTGCTAATCTATAGCTTGTTCGTTGTTTTACACAAAAACACATTTTCCGGACTACTTTTTCCAAAAATATGCTCATATATGGAAACTAAATGTTGAATTATAATATATCAAATTGATTTCTATGCACACATAGTGTACACAATGGAACTGCCACAAACCAAAAAATACTCGTCTTCTCAGGACTGATGACTCGAGTCTTATTTGGCTTTGTTTTCCTGAAATTCATCCAAATGATATGATTTATTTTACACACCCAAACGCTGACAAGTCAAATGAAAACTTGAGTTCTTCCAAATAGTTTTAGCTTCTGTATGAACTCACACACTTATGTATCTGATGACACACCCACATGGATTAACAAATGTCTTGATTTTCAGTGCAAAAGTAGGAAAATAGTCGATTGAATCAGGTAAAAAGGCTTGAAGATAAATCATTTCAATGGCGTTTCACTAAAGTTTGTTGTTTGTGAGAAAAATGTTTTCAGTTGATTCAAGTATTTTGTCTTTGTTAACAGTTTCTAAAAGTCGATTCACTGTTGTCATTAACACAAATCAGCGGCGGACATATTGACTGCCAGATTGAGCCATTATTGGTTTATTGCGTCCAAGGAGGGACAGAGAAAGACGGATGGAAAGAAGAGGAGACAGAGTGTACAGAGGTTTATTCCAGCTGATGTTTTTTATTAATTGAATTATTTAGAACTTGTCAATCACTTAGTGAAACTGTTGAATTTAAATAATTTCTTAGCCATTGTTCTTTCAATTTTGTTCAAAGCTTCTCTTCCTACCCACACACACTTTATTACGTGGCAAATGAAAGAGGTGACAGCTGGCCTTAAGTGGCAGCAGAGTGAGTGATCACACACACACACACACACACACACACACACACACACACACACACACACACACACACACACACACACACACACACACAGGAGAGTATTGATTAGTGTGTTATTGTAGTGATGTGCACAGGGATACGTGGCTCCCTTTAGCTCAGCCAATCTTTTGATGTCTACTTACTAAAGTTCATTCAAGTCGCAATTTGCCTAAATGTCAAAAAAAGTAACTGTGGAAAAGTAGCCACTCTTCTTCTCCCTTCTTCCCTGCCTTTAATCTCTCTTCCTTTCTGCAATTAAAGTAGCGCTACTCCTTTAAGTCGGCGTACTGCTGGGTTGCAGTCATATTCTGTAAGGCTGTGATTCATCAAACACTACATCAAAACATCTCGGTAAACACTGATTCAAATGATGTTTAAAGATCTGGAAGTGGAAGCCTTACATGCCCTCAAAGACACACACACACACACACACACACACACACACACACACACACACACACACACACACACACACACACACACACACACACACACAAACCTCAATTATACATGTACTCAATATTGTAGTGGCTTTTTGTCCTCAATACTTCCAGTTTTGCCGAGATTTTTCATTTAACTTTCAATGAATTCCCAACCTATTTGACTAGTTCCTACAGCATGGGGTTCATTGTGGACTCTTTGTTTTGGGATTGTGTCTGAACTTTTGATTCCTGACGGATAACACACATTCAAATATAAACTGTGCCAGTGCAGTTGAGGACATTCAGATCGATCTGGCTCTTAATAACAGCTAGTTATCAGAGTCAAATCAAAGAGAGTCCTGTTTACTTTGTGTACTAGTAGCCCTTAATGTCGGATCCAGGTACAATATACGACACGTCTCATTCCTACTCTCTGCTGTTTGACATTTCTCTATGAATCAGTCTCTTTCTGTTCTACCGTTAGCAGGCTAACAGATGACAGAAGGATTTCCCGGTTGATTTTGGTTCTACTACTAATGGATTACTGGGTTAAAGGTGATAATGTGTTTAGTTTTTCTCTCTTCATTAAAAATTGCAACAAAATAATCTAAGTTAAGGTCTGATTAGATCGATTTAATTGTCAACATAAGCAAACAACGCCACAACTGTCATTCAATTCTGATTCAACTGTTTCTATTCCCTGATTGGCACGAAGAAGTATGTGACATCATCTTTTTCCAACAGAGCCACGCCCACAACACGAAGAAAAACTCATGTCACATAAATGAAACTGCTCGAGCTTTGGTAGAAACCTGTTTGTTTTGGTAGCCCGTCCCTCAAAATAAGAAGCGACTGGGGACACAACAAGTTCAAAGGACCTTTTAGAGTCGCATTCTGTACTTGACCGGATACTCCAAGGTGCCAGCGCGTACACGCAGGACAGTAAATACGGGTGACTTGGACGTGCCTGTTCCCAGGTGTTTCGTCCCCCTGGTCCCTTTCAGTTTGTACGGATATAACCATTAGCATTGTCTAGGAGCAGTGGGGCCTGACCCCCTCTAAACCATCTCGGCCCTGTGGCAATAATGGGAATGCTAAATTGCAATTGTGTATGTGGTGGATTACCAGGCCAGAGGGCACAACGTCAGAGAGAAAGAGACAATGGGGAGGGGCAATTGACTGGCTTAACTAACACCTGCTTTTTATTTTGGCCACGTGCTTCGGGTTAACACGGGGTAAACATGTCCAGGAAGTTACTTGTGGTTGTGGTTGGCCAAACTTCAGAGAATGAATAGTTTGCGATGACACTGGAGGTGGGTGGATTTTTTCCAATTAGCAGCTTTAGTGGAGGAAATTAGCATGCCGGCACCGAGTGTACTGCAGAAAGTGTATCAGCAGTTTCCTCCGTGGCAATCAATAGCCCTGTGATGCAACCTCCCTCCCCCCCGCCCAGCCTGTGACCAAGTGGAGCTCAGAGATGAAGCAAGTGGGGGTAGGAGTGGAGAGAGAGAGAGAGAGAGAGAGAGAGAGAGAGAGAGAGAGAGAGAGAGAGAGAGAGAGAGAGAGAGAGAGAGAGAGAGAGAGAGAGAGAGAGACGGGGAGACGGGGAGGAGGGGTGGGAAGAAAGGGTGGAGGAGCTGCATGTGTGATGTTGCCTCTGGATGGCCTGAAGATTCTTGGCTAGTTTTTCAATAGATGTGTTTAAATCACACTGCCTTACATCCTTACATCACCTTTTATCCTTCCAGCTGCAGCAAAGTTACATTCCCTTACTTTTTAAAAGTTGTTATTGCTAAACTCAACACTGGTGGAGCATTGCCTACTGACAAACCAGACAATGTGTATCTTAATAGTGTATTAAGGATGGTGACGTTTCTCCCTCGTCTTACCTGTGGGTGTCATGTAATAAGCCTCTATGTCAGCCATGTCCGTGTGCAGAGCACAGTCCAGATAACTGTGGATAACTTTCCTGCTGTAGAAGTAGCGCGCGCCCATGAGAAAGAGGGGCGCACAGCAGGTCAGCGTGACGGATTTGGTCACGAAAAAGCACATTACTATGGAGAAATGGAAGAAAAATAAACGAAACCTGTCAGAAAAGAGAATCACATGTTTGATTTGGAGGAAATTGACCACACACAGAAGTAGAGCAATATGACATTTCAATAAAGTCAAATTGTACATTTACATTTTCATAAAAAGAGATTAGTTTGACACAATGCAGCAAAGAACTGAAGGCACATTAGTATAGCAGGGTAAAACTTTCAGTGCATGTTAGTATTAAAATCATTAAATCCAAAAGTCCAAACAGTAATTAGTCGGGTGTAACGCTGGGGGGCGCAATCTCAACAAAGCAGGCTGGATGCTGCATAGCATGTTGTGTTTCATGCAATAACAGAGTTTATTCCAGTTTAGTGTCAAACACGAAGAGGGGGGTGCAATGGGGAATTTAACCTATAAATATCACATAGGAACCGCACGGAAATATAATTTGTTTGGGAATTTCACAGCCAGGACCAAACATCGCCAAATGAACACTTTTTTGCCGAAATATTCAAAAATGTCAACAGATTCTTTGATTTTGGCGTGCTTAAAGGCACCGCACACGTTACAAATAGGCTTTAATATCAACAAAAGCCAAAAGTGGTCAGTGCATGACTGGCGCAGAGGCGGGGAGGAGGGGTGTGCGCGCAGAGGGGGATTTTAATGTGAGTATTGGGGTGTGCTGGCGTGGGGGGTTTGGAGTGCTTTTTTTTGGGTACGTGCGCGCACCCCGTGGGCCAATCCTCAAATTCATTCACTCATTCATTCACGGCGCCGACATGTCATCACACAAAATCAGCGGGTCCGCCGGTTATGCACGTGCACCATGCCCGGCCATGCCTTTTGTTGCGCGAGGAGCAACATGCCGGTGAGTGCCGGTGGAAAGAGGCACCCTTCGGTGATGCTGCAACAATTTTTTTAACTTCAGGGCATTTACACGATAGTTTTAAGACAAGTTCCTCAAATAAATCACACTATAGGAACATCAAAAGAAAGTGCAACAGAGATTAGAAATAACTCATTATTGTTATTATAGGAAAGTGGTCTAAAGATGCGTGATGCAAAGTAAAGAGGGGGACTTACCTGTCAGAAGAGCATATAAAAACTGGGTCTTGGGATGCTGCCTGAGCCCCCTAAACGCCGTGTTGGGTATCCTCTCCATAATACCCTCGTAAAAGATGCGCCGCACCTCCTCATGATCCCCGCACTCGAACTCGCGGATATAAACCACATCTTTCCTCACATCCCTCGCCTCTGCGGGGTTCAGAGCCGCGCTGGCCGGCGCAGAGCTCCACATCATCGACTCTTTTTTGGTCCCAGGTATAGCATCATGTTCGTCCGCAACAATTTTAGTCTCGCAAACCATTTTGGGAGACGAAAAATGCATGCAACTGGCCGCAAAAACCACTACAGCTCGGAAAAAAGTGGGGGGGAGAGTGAAAATGGATGAGGTTTTTGTTATAAAACAGAGAAACGATGAATGGGATAAGACGAAGGGGGATGTTCTGCTGCAACCCTGAGCGTTTCTGACGACCAAGAAGTGCCGTTGTGATTAACGTCGTATTTATATGCCAGCAGGGCGGGTAGATTCAGGTTCAGGGGTTGGGGTGGACTTCTCGACGCACAGATTGGTGGAAACGCAGAGGGAGGAGGGTGAGGCAGACTGTGTCTCTCTGCATCTGATCAGAGCCCAGAAGTGTGGGCTTTAAAGATGTGAGCCCAGGAGAAGTGGGTGGGATGGCGAGATTGCGTATAGAGGTTGTTTCTGAACAGGTTTGGCTTCTTAATCTCTTTCAGTGAGGAGGATCCCCGGTTTTTTCAGATGGCTATTAAAGGAGGCGATACAAAGGCGCAAGGTAAAGAGGGGGCGATGCGTCAAACCGGAGGAAACCCTCTAACAGGGAGACTGCAGCTTATAATGAAACTCTTAGCTTATCGTTACTTATAATGGCGGTTGATGATCAATTTGAGGTGAAAATTGTTCCTTTCCAAGCACCTAGATCGTTTATCAATTACGTAATTGCCCATGTAAATATACTGCTTTGACATAAGAAGGTGGAAAATATCTCCAATGGTCTATATTCTGATACGAATCAGCGTTAAAAACACACTTTAATCGTTAAAATCAGCTGTTATTCGCCATATAATGCGTTAATGCAGCCTCCTCCGCCTGTTGACTGACAGCTCTGCTGCACTGCAGTGATTCCTCCCCGGCTTCCCTCCGCTGTGTCACCCTGCTCCTGTCATGCAACAGCCTCAACACGGAGAACATATCTCGCCTTACTGCGCATCTGAAACCTACCATCAGCCATTCTGTCTGACTGAGACTTGCACCAAAGCACCAGCAGCGACCACAAAACCGGCTTTACGCACGGTGGTGGAGCTGGTGATGCGACCCTTTGTTGTTCCCCCGACCCTCCCCAATTAACCGTGACTGTCATTAAACACTCAAGCATTCATGGATTAAAGTGGTGCTATGACATGCGCGTGCTTTTATTTTTTGACAGCGCCAATATAACGCTGAGATGTGTCATCACCGTCAAAGGTAATAAAAGCTGTTAATGCTAAACAATAATGTCCACGGCTGCACCGTTTTTTTGCATAGTGATATCCCCAAAATAATGTCGTCATTTTAATACCGTAAATAAGAAAATGTGAGGTAATATTTTCATTTAAGTCCAGAGAAGAGCCTCAATCGCAGAACTAGTTTGAACTGGATCAACCTGCTATTGATAAGGCTGCATCCACCCCCACTCCCTCCTCCTTGGTGTCCCCCTCATCCTCTTCCTCCCACCATATGAAGGAGGAGGTGGAGTGGCTGATAACCTGCAGAGTTCTCAAAGTCCTCACACACTCTGCTCAGCCCGGACATTTGACAAAAAATGCGTCGAAAGACGTTTTCCACGCATCAGCGCCTGCTCTGCAGCGGAGCTCTCCATACCGACCGGGCGGAAGATGCTCTGAGCATGCGCAGTGGACTCTTCTCTATCTCCTGCAAGTGATGCCTTCAAGTTCTGTCGGTGATGTTGCAATCATGAAATAAGCATGAAACTTCAAAACATCTAATTATGAACCAGAAAATAAAATGATTGATAACAAGTACACCAATTAGCACGAGGTGCTACCAACGTACTCTTGTAAAGTAATTAAAAAAGCCATATATATGTTTATGACTTGTTATTTAGCCACTGCAGGAGCAAGTCTCTATATTACAACATTTGTTTGTCCCTTATTTACATTTTCTCAATGAACTCCTTACAAAAGGAAACTCGAAAAGCCCAATTCAATGTAAATGTACACACATATTTAAATAAATCACAAAGACAATTAAACATTAACACTAAGTATGAGTATAGTGGTTCTTAAGTCATGGTATGTGGATTTTGTGTATGCAAATAACGTTTGCTTGGCCGTGTCAGTCACGTGACTATACATACTTCATTTGCTAGCCAGTTTGCAGTACATACTGATTAAGTTTGTATGAGGCAGTGTGTTAGTATGTGATTCTGAACGCAGCCCTTATCTGACCGTCATCACATGTCTCCTGAACATCTAATAATAATCAATCCGGCTGTCGGTGTGAAGCGAGTCAGCTGCAGAGTGGATGGATTTTCAACAGTGTGGTTAACTCACAGCGTGCTCTGTAAAATAGTAGTGAAAACGCATTAAAACCATGTCCAGAGTTCAATTCACGGTTATGTTCTTTCTCTACGGAAGAACAATTACACAACAACCACGCGTAAATAAATCTGTGAGCCTTGTTGCCGGTGTCTGGGTGTAAAGCTGCTCTTCAGAGCCCCACATATTGTTCTAATCTTCAGTCTGACCTCTGACTCTCCCCCCCTCCCTCTGAAGGTCACATCATGCCACTGCTGACTCTCATGCCTCTGCTCCCGCCGTGACCTCTGACCTTTTTCAGCAGGGCGGCCAGACAGGACTCTGCTCTTCAGAAGTCTGTCGTGTGTGGGGTACAAAAGGTTGTTTTTTTATCCTCTTCTCTGGAAAGGTTTTTTACAGCACTTTTTTTTTATAAAAACAGACAAATTCACATTCCACAAATAAGCAACACACATGAAGTGCTCTGAAGAAGGGCTATGAATCGCTGGGCCCCTGGGCACAGACATATAAACGACCTCCTTTAGTTAACTTAGGTTCCCCAACCCCCACCCAACCACACGCTGCCAATGGTCATGTTACATTCTGTCAGTCAACTTGACCTCTAAGTGGATCACATCCTAAACGTTACTATATTCTCTTGCTTGAGACGAAAAGAGGTAAATTAAGCTCAAGCTACCAGCTGCAACAGATCCATCCACACGCAATCCTCTATGGAATTTAGGAAAAAATGTAAGTTTGTTATTTAATTCAACTATCTCCCCTAAGAAACCCTCAGCGCCTGCCACCCCCTCCTCTGTCTCCCCAGCCTGAGAAGGTTGTTTGTGTCCAAATACAGAAAGCTCTAGTTCAGTGGTCTCAAACTCAAGGCCCGGGGGCCAAATCTGGCCCGCGACTTCATTTTATGTGGCCCCACAAGAGCTTGCAAAGAATATAATATGTTTGTTATACGGTTACAGGGCGATTTACAGAAGCACGTTGCCCATACATGGAGCACAATGCATCTCAAATTAGCCTTTTTCAAAGAATTGATTTTTTTTCAAAATGTCACCTTTTTTATTTTGCTTTTCTTTTAAAATCATTTTGTGACATTCTCACTGAAGAGACTTGCAATTATTTGCCCTATAGGCTGTTGTGGAAATGTTGTTAACATGCATCTCCTTTTACTCTTTTGAGCTACTATCCCTGATGTACTGCACAGAGGACATCCTGGTCTTTCCAGTGATATGTCATTGGTTACAATTGCATGCTGGGAAGTTCCTCTTTCTTTTCATCCAAAATAGCTGGCATACCAAAAACAAAATGTTATAGAAGCAGGAGGAGAAGTCAAATATTGTTGAATAATTGTAATTTTTACCATGAAAATCAAATATGTTCTTGTTTATTAACATGTGAAGAACTATATAATTAGTTCTGAAAGCAATTCAATAATTCAAGTTTTCAAATAACAGCTCTTTTATAACTGTCCATTCTAGTGGACGTCAGGACCATCTTCATGGACTTAATGACTCAATATTGTTGCAGGAGACGAAACTAAAGCAGACATTTTCTGTAGATAGTTAAGGCAGATTCAGATTGTGAGCTCTCAGATGATGAGAGAGATGATGATTTCACACCTGGGATAGAAGAGGGTCAAGAAGAAGGGGGGAAAGATGCAGGAGGCTCCATGAGCGCACAGATACAGACAGAGAGACAGATGGGACGAGCTATCTGTCCCTCTGTGGGCCAAGAGTAGCACGTATGTCTTATTATTGTTTTTATTTTAAGTGGAGCCATGAGAAATGAGAATTGCCTCAGGAATGCAAGTTTTGTCTTTTCAAACTAATATGGTCCCGACGTCCTCTACAGTGGACATACTGGAACATTTTAAAATAAAATAAAATAAGTCTAAATTGCAAGATGTTTTTTTAACCCTAAATAGGTAGGAAATTGGAAGACACTTTTTTCCCTCGGGTCCCAGCTTTCAGACCGAGTTAATTATGAAGTTATTACCCTATCCGATAATAATCCAATGCAGAGGCAATAATGTAATATAATGCATTATTTTATAAATATTAAATATTTATATATGTATTTATATAGTCTTAAAGTTAAAACCGGCCCTTTGAGTGCAACCATAATGCGAATGTGGCCCGTGATGAAATTGAGTTTGACACCCCTGCTCTAATCGATATCTGCTGCGTCCAGACTGAAAGGGGAATGGCTTTCATGACTTTTTCGAGGAAAAGCCAGGGCCCTGTGAGCCGAAAACCTCCTCAATTTCTGTCTTGATATCAAAAAAAGAATATACTACTACTACTTCACATACTACCTCGAAGTGTAGAAACACCCTCTCAAGAATGTGTGTTTTTAACACAGTGCTGAGATAGCTTAAGGTGCAAGACACCAACATTTATTTAAAGTTCAATTTAGGCACAGTTTCAAATGTTAAAGACAGAATAAAAAGTGTCTCTGTGAATGCTCTTGTTTAAGTGACGTCCTAGTACCTGAGGTCTGTCTCCCTCTTGTGGTCAAAGGTTAGCGGCACTAATTTATACTAAAATACTAAAGCGTTTCTGATACATGAAATGAGGCCATTTCTGAGGTCATATTCAGGAAATGTTTTAACTTTCCATTAGAAATTACCCCCAATGGCCCTATAGTATTGAAAGTGATTTCCTTTTGAGACGGACTCATACAGCAGCTGGGGCCAATTAGAAGAAGTCCCTTTGACCTTGTTGCTATGGGTGATATAAGCCTTGAGACGTTTGATGAATATCGCCTGTTGTTGAGAGATGTGGAGTTTCTTGACCTTGTGGTAGGAAGGGAGCTTTAAAAGTGTTTAAATACAGGAAATACGAACAACCACAAAAACTTTGATATTAAAATACGTTTTTTGTTTTTTTTAATGATTGAGCCAAAAAGAGAACACTTTTGGATGTTCGACATGATAGACTGCTTTGTTTGATTGAAGTTGGCTGGGATCACTTGCATAAAAGTGATGTCACAGTCACACACTTCTTTGAATCGTTTACTGTAGCGTTACATTATCGGGTTGTTGCTTATATTGCAAATCTGATCA